AATGCTGTGGAGGTGGAGAACCCTTTGTCCAGGGGTGGACACACACACACACACACACGCCTCCCCGAGGGGAGGCATATTTTCGCTGAGCTGTGGGGACTAGTGAAACTACGAAAGCCGGCGGAGTTCCCGGAAAGTTTGGTAGGGTGTGAGTGGAAGCCTCAGTTGACGTATGGCATCATCGTGGGAGGAACCGTATGTAGTGGTCGAAAAGGGAAAGGTGTGGATTCCTGCGAGTATTCATGGGAGGTTCCAAGAACTCGAAGAGATTGGCCTTTTCATTAGCCATCCACCAATGGTGAGAGGGATGGCCCCCTGCAACGGACCTATCTCAAAAGACCAAAGGCCCCCTTTGACTCCAAGGGTTGCACACACGCAGACTATGGATTGAGGTGTACGTGCAGTGACTGTGGCCGCTGCCGGATACCTGCAAGGACTCGAGGACCGGTGACCAAGAGGTTTCAAATCAGGAAATTCTAACTGACAAAGGTCAACGAAAGCTTACATGCGTGCCTGCAACCTGGAGTTCTCACCAGCTTGTATATTGGAGAGCGTGTTACCAACATCGCACAAAGAACTGGCCGACTCTCAGAATAGGAGGAGGACATCTCGTCACCACCATCAGTTTGCAAAGGTGCTGTGGTCTTCGGGCCTAGTCATCTTCCAAAAACTTGGACCACCACCACCTTTCCAAAAAACCACATCCGAGAGTAGGGTGTATGGAAACGGAGCGGACATTCCGCAACGACAAGGCAGGTTCCATGATCAATCGTGCTCAAGGACAGTGAGACACGTCATGGGATCACCTGTCATATCCGCATGTACTTTGGACTGTCGCTCATAGTGCATGGGATGGCCCCCTTCAAAGCCCAGAAGCAAAGCTCAATCTAAAAAAAATATGAGTGCCGAGGCACACTGTGATTCCAAGGTTTTCACACACGCACATTGCCAACATGCTAGTCGCCACAAGCACGTACATGTGTTGAGGGCTAATTTGTCATTGAGGATCGCCATCTCCAACGTGATCAAGTGGCCTTCACCGCGACAATTGGAGCATGTTCAAAGGCCTAATGAGAGGGGCGTCGGTGGAAAGAAACATGCAACACCGGCTGTCTACTTGTTGGCGTGTGGTGTTGGCTGCTTTTTCGCGGACTTCTCGGGCCATCCCGAAATGCTATGTTTCTTGACTAGGGCGAATGTGCACGGTTTTGGATAAACAGCTGTCGTCTACAGGCAGACCAGTGGCGTGCTTCAGCGAGCCTGCTGGAAAGATCTCCGGATGCAAGTGTGCATGACCTGCGAATCAGAAATCTCAAAGCCACCGATGGTGCTGACTGATAACTGTGGAGAGAGCTACTGTCAAAGCCGAGGCATGTCATTTGGTGCTTCTCCGTATCTTGACCAATATAGTGCAGAACTGCTGGCTAAATTGCCTCAAGATGGCATATGCACTGAAATGAACCTGCGCTGTCAGAGTCCTGAATTTTGTTCAGGACTCTTGTGGCTTGCAATGCCCACTGCGATGCTTGCGCCGGAGCAAGACGCTGGCCCAGAGCACTAATGCAGCTGCATGCCACGTGCCACGGCTCAACAAGTTCAATCTGGACTTTTCTGCATTGAATGGACAGAGTTTCTGAAACCGTTGACAAACTCGATATTCTTGATTCTTTTTGTGCTTCGCATTGTTAGAATGGCTCCAGCTTTCAGGTCTTGGCTTGCTCTGCAACCCAATCTTGTCACCTTCAACTCTGCCCTTGCAGGGTGTGACTGCACCTGAACATGGCGGTGCGCTGGATGGGAAACAGCGGAATGCTGACACGAGGAAGGAAGCTCTCGTTCTTATAGCTTCTGCAGGCCTAGTGTTTTCCTACGCGATGCAGGCAAACCCTAAAGCCAGAGTCTGAAGATCTATGTATATATACATACATATACGCATACACATACACATACACATACGCATACACACATAGAATATAATATATTATATCGCATTTCATTTTGAAATCCTTTTCAACGTAAAGTCCATTGAGCTACCCTGCTGCCCTCATGATTGAGTTCAGTGCTTTTCTTCAGACCATTTAGTCATGGTTTCGGGGTCAAAACAAGGAGGAGCTGCTTGTGGCACACCCAGGTGAGAAGGGCTACGAATGGGAGCACGGCCTGGTTCTTTTGGCATCGATGGAGAGAGCACATTTGCAAGCTGCCGTGAGCTTGGATTGCTACTCTTTACTTTGGATTCTTAACTTAGCCGGGCCCGTACTCTCAGGAGATGATCAGCTTTAGCTCCGCCATCAGTGCCTGTGAGAAGAGAGGGCAATGGGCAATGGCAATGCACTTGCTGCAGAGGATGCACATGAGGCCGTCACGATGGTGGGATCAGTTGGGAGCAAGCACAAGCCAGCAACATTATGGTTTGCAATGCAAGCCCCGAACCTAAGCTGCTGGCATGTAGCTGGATGCTAGCAAAAGCTCCTTGTGAGGTGTGGTAGTTGCTTTGCACTGCACTGAGGCGCTTGCGAGCAGATGCAGTGGCCATGTGTGCTGCCATGAGTGCCTGCGAGAAGGCGAGCAGCGAGCGTAGTTTGTGCAGCTTTTGACCCTTGATGATGTTTGTGCTGACTAGTGATGTTTGGCAGCGCCACCTGTGCCACCTGTCGATGTACCTTCGAGTTTTAGAGGAGAAAGAACTGACACATATTATCATTGGTTGAGCGGATCATAGGTTTGAACTGGATGGATTTGAACCATTGGGCCTGACATGTGAATGAATTTCTGAAGGCTGGCCAGTGGGAGATAGCGTTGGCACTGCTTGAGCCAACCTTGCACCTCCGTGGCACTAAAGCAAACGCTTTCGACATGTTTGAAGTTGACCTGTTTTGATTTGCGTTGACCCGTCCACCCAGGGAGTGTGCGCAGACTTCCTTGGACTTTGGCTGCGCCTTTTCTGCTGTGTTGGGTGCCGCAGAACGTGGGATGGCATGGTGGATGGCTTTGGCGCTCCTGAACAATGCAGTAGAGATGCGTGTGAGTGCATCAGGTGGGAATGGGTGGTGTTCAAGAGCTTAGATCGCTTGTGAATTGAGAAAGCTTATCCTAAGCTGTTTGAGAGAGCTTTGCAAGAAGTGCTCTTATGGGCTATCCTTTACCGTGACGTACTTCTAAGGTTTCAGCTCCGTTTGGGTAGGTTCGCCTTATTGTATTCTTCGACGCCCTTTCAGTTTTTTCCCCAGATAGCTGGAAGCTATAGGGGTTCTTACTTCTCAATGGATGGGTTCCGGATTGCGGAAATTGGCTGCCGCTGCCGCCTTGTTTCCCAAGCTTGTCTCCCTTCATGATTTCGCTCTTGGTTGCCGCTGCCGTCTTGTTTCTCAAGCTTGTCTCCCTTCATGACGTCGCTCTTGGCTGCCGCTGCCGGCTTGTCTCCCAAGTCTGTCTCCCTCAATGATTTCGCTCTTGGCTGCCGCTGCCGGCTTGTCTCCCAAGCTTGTCTCCCTTCATGATTTCGCTTTTGGCTGCCGCTGCCGCCTTGTCTCCCAAGCTTGTCTCCCTTCATGATTTCGCTCTTGGCTGCCGCTGCCGTCTTGTTTCTCAAGCTTGTCTCCCTTCAT